GCAAGAAATCCAACCATTTCCTGCTTCCTAGCTAATCTAAATCTCCCAAGCAGAATAGCTGATGGCCTGAAAAATAGCAATTTAGCAGGCAAGTTTTCTGGGTAAGGAATGAGTGAGCGGGGAGGGTTCCCGTGGGCCATGTGGGCGTCACAGCCTTGTGTTCCTGCGCAGCCTGGATTAATTGCTTTTGGGGGGTGTTCTGGGGGTGACATTTCTCTGCAGCCCACCAAAATTTTCTCATGGCCCACCAAGAGTACCCCCCCCCTCAAATCCTCATGCCAGGAAACCTGAGCAGAGCTTGGGGCCTGGGGTCCAACTGTGGTGGTGAACCCAACTCAAACCAACCGTACCAATGTTGGCGATGGTCTAATCCTCTTGGGCTATTGAACATTTTGGTTGGTTGCAGTTCCTGAGAATTTGGAAGAAGGGGGTGTGAATAGCAGGCAAGGAAACGGGGGCCATGGGTGCCCCACAACCTCTCCCTGGCTCGTCCTGGGCTAGGGACCAAAAAAAGGGTGTCTAGTCTCCCAGACTGAGCACTGGAGGCCCCGTGTTGGCGGCCCAGGGCTTCCTGCTAACCCTCACGCCCTGGTGTCGCCCTCTCCACCCCCCGCCACAAGACCGATAGGGTTGGGGTTTTTTGGCACATTGCCATTTGGAAGACTCGGGCAAGTGTGGACTGACCTCGTCGCTCCTCTGCCCCGCCAGACCTCGCACACCCCGTCGACGCTGAACCCCATCCTGCCGGCCTCGGAGCGGACCGTGGCCTGGGTCTCCAACATGCCTCACCTCTCGGCAGACATCGAGAGCTCCCACATTGAGCGGGAGGAGTTCAAGTTGAAGGAGTACTCCAAGTCCATGGACGAGAGTCGGCTGGACCGCGTGAGCCTCTCTCTGGCGGGTGCCACCCCCTCGGGCTGGGAGAGGGAGGCCCCCCCCACCGTAGGCCCCGGGTGCCATAGGCCGGCCCCGCCCTGAGGCTCCTCTCGCCCCCGTTGCAGGTGAAGGAGTACGAGGAGGAGATCCACTCGCTGAAGGAGCGCCTGCACATGTCCAACCGGAAGCTGGAGGAGTACGAGAGGCGCCTGCTGAGCCAGGAGGAGCAGACCAGCAAGATCCTCCAGCAGTACCAGCAGCGCCTGGAGCAGAGCGAGAAGCGCCTCCGACAGCAACAGGTGGAAAAGGACTCGCAGATCAAGAGCATCATCGGCAGGTGAGCTGCAGGGCGGGGCTGCCACGGGGGAACCTCTGGGGGGCCCCGGGTCAGGGATGGGGGCCCCCGCCTTGGATCCCTCACCTTGTGAGGGAGGTGAGGGGGGGGTCCCACCGGCAATGGGAGGCTCGGCTGGCGGGGCATGTGGCAAGGGGCGCTCCTCACCGGCGGGGCCCCAGCTGCAGTCTCTGGGGCCCCGTCGCATTGGGGAGCCCCCGGTTCCCGCAGCTGCTGGCGGCCCCGGCTCCCGCCGCCTGCCTGCCGGGTGGGGGGGGCCCGGATTGACTCCAGTGAAGCTTGTCCCTGCAGGCTGATGTTAGTGGAGGAGGAGCTGCGCAGGGATCACTCGGCCGCCCTCGACACCTCCGAAACCCGGAAGCGGCTGCTCGACGCTCAGGTGGAAATTACAATGTCATTGTCCTTTCCCATGTCTCCATCCTCCATCCGCCCCCACCCCTCCCGTCCTCGTCTCCCCCCTCTCCCCCCCCCGCTTGCTCCTCCGGATGTGGCTGCTCGTCCTCCTCCTGAGCCTCGGGAAGAGGGGATCCCCCCTCCGGCAGCGGGGTTGGCTCTCCTGGCCCCCTCCGTGCCCAGCCCTGCCCTCCGAGAGGGCCCTGGGGCAGCCGGGTGGGTGGGTGGGTGGGGGGCAGGGAGGAAGCGGAGGGGGGACCTGGAGACAGCAGCCCGGGGAGGGGGGGTCGCAAGAGGTGTAGCCCAGATGGAAGGGGGCAGGGCAGCTCCCCTCCTCGTCCTCGGCCCCCCCTCTGGCCGGAAGGCCGCCGGGCCCCCAGTGGCTGGGTGGAGGGCCCCCCTCCCGAGAAACGCACCTGTGGGTGGAGCGTGGGGTCTCTGTGGGTCTGGCGAGTCACCCCACAGCAGCCCCGCCCCCCCCCCGACTGCCTCCCTTCTCTGCGGCCCTGCGGCTGCCCCGGCCCCCCCACCCTGATCCCCTGTGTTTTCTCCCTTTCATCCTAGCTGTTTACCAGGTAACTCTGTGTGGCCCCGGTTTTGTCACTTGAGGGACCAGGGCACCCCGCCATCCGTGTGGGGCAGACCAGGTGGGTCCTGCAGGCACTCCTTCCCCAGACCCCCCCACCTTCCCCTGGCTGGGAGGGGGTTGCTCTCCGCCCCTTCCTTTCCCCGTGGCCTCCCGTCCCCCGCTGGCCGGGGGGGGGATCAGAGGCGCCACTGAGTAGGAGGTCCTCTGTCGCTGTGGCCGGCATGTCGTTCCCCCCACCACCCCGCCACTGTCCACCCATCATGCCCCCCCCTTTCCTTCCATCTCTCGTCTTGTGTGCCAAGAGCATGCCATGTGGGGGGAGCACAGCCACACGGGCCATCCGGGCCCTCCCCTATCTGTGCAGGGCGGGGTGGGGGCGATGGGAGAGGGGTGCCGGAGGAGGAAGCCCCTCTCTCAGAAAAGGGTCCGCAGCCCGTGGACCTGGAGAGGTTAGTGCCAGAGGCAGGTTGGGGAGGTTGCCCGGTGCCCCCTGGTGAACGGGGGGGATGTGGGGGGCAGCGAGGAGGCGGGAGGCCTCCCTTGGAGGGCTGGGGGGTCGGGGGGCTGCCTGGGCTGGGGCCCTGCCCCCCCAAAAAACCTGTGACAAGGACAATTGCAACCACCCTCTGTCCCCTGCTGTGGTGGAGGGCAGCGAGTCGCGTCCTCATGGAAACGCTGCGGGGACGGGGAGGGGGGGGTGACGCATAACGACGGCTCTTCCTGCTCAGACCCCGGATGGGGCACTGCCAGGCCGGAGGTGCCCCTTGGGAAGGCAGGAAGGTGGGGTCCCTCAGCTGCCGGGCCTTACCAGGAGGAAGCCTGAACCCCCCCAACTGCCAGATCATTGGTTTGCCCCTGAAAATTGGGGTGCCACGGGGACTTTCAGCCGCTGGGAGGTCGGGGGGGGGCCGGCTAGGTTCTGGGAGGGTCCCGCTGGGGGGAAGCAAAGAGGGGAGGACCTCTCTTCCTTGGGGGGGGAGGCCTCTCTGCGCACAGCCCCTCCCCCCACCTTTAGGAGGGAAGGCCCTGCTGGGAGTTGGCCTGGGGGTCTTGAAGGAGAGAGCGGACCCTCCCCGGTAGTTGGGGTGGTCTTGATGCCCGGGGGACCCTTAGAAGGGGGAAGGGGGGTTCTCGGAGTGCAGGGAAGGGAGAGGCTCTCGGTGGGCCGGGGGAGGGGGGTGGCAGCCGGTGCCTGGCGCGTGCCTGGGCCCCCTAAGCGTAATAAATAAGGGGGCGCTCTCCCCTTCTCGCTCTCTTGCAGGAGAGGCAGCTTTCCGCCGTGGGTGCAGCAAACCCGCGTCTGAGCGGCGCTATGGGCCCGCCGCCCTGGAACGGGATCCTACCCGGGCAACCGCCTCCGCTCCCGCGACTCCAGATCACGGAAAATGGAGAGTTTCGCAGCACCGCGTCTGAGCACTAGCGACGGCCCCCCCTGCCCCGTCCCGCGCCCCCACCCCACTGCCAGCGGGCAGCCGTGGGCCCGGGGGGAGGCGGGGCGGGGCGGGGGGCTCGCCTGGAACCTCACGCCGGGGGCATTCAGGGTGTTTTATAGCAGGACCGAGACGACAATCTTCCCTCCCACCCCTCCCTCGCGCCCGCCTGGGACCTTCCCCCCCCTCCGTCCTCGGGATGGCGCCTCCCGCCCCTCCCTCCTCCCTCTCCCCTAGAACTTCTCAGGAGTGGCGTCCCCTCCCCTCCCCCTACCTCCACCCCCACCCCAGCAGCGGGCGGAAGGGGGTCTCTCCAGCCGCCCCTCCCTCCCTCCCCCTCCCCGAGCTCCGCGCTGCTGGGGAAGGAGGCCAGGCCTCGCGGGGGGGAGGGCAGGCTGGTCCCGGTTCCCCCCTTCGAGCGCTCTCCTCAGCGGTGGGGGGCGGTTGGGGGGTCGCCTGCCCCTCGCTCCTTCCCCGGGGGGGGCAGGGAGGGGGAGGGTCCACGCGGGGCCCCCACCAGGCCAGCCCCTCCCTCGCTTCTCTGACCAAGGGCTTTGCCTCTCTGTACAGCATCTCTCTCCGCTCGCCCCTTGAGGGCCGGGGGTGAAGGGGCTGCACGGCAGGTTGGGGATGGGGGCAGCTCCCCTCCCCCCTTCCCCCCCTCTCCCCTTCCCCTCCCCTCGTCTCCTCCAACTCGCAAAAGAAGCCATTTTCTTTTTTTTTTTCTTTTTTTCGGAACTGCCCAGCTGCAGGGAGCTGCCGGAGGAGGCGAAGGCAACGGGGGGCGGTGGGGTTAGGGGGAAAGGGGAAGGGGACCGGCTCCCGGCTCGACTCGCGTCGTGGTGCTCGCTCGCTCGCGTCCGTCTGTCCGTCCCGTCCGTCGTGCTCGTCCCCGGGGCTGCCGCTGGGGGAGGGGGGGGAGTTGTTCGGCGCACCGCCGCCGCTGCTGCTGCTGCTTCGTCGTGGTGTTTCTTTCTCGCTCTCCCCCCCCCGTCCCCTCCCTCATCCCCCTCCCCTCCCCGCCCTCCGTCTCCGTGTGGGACCCCCCCCGCCCGCTCCTCCCTCTCCCCCGCCTCCCCCCCCCGCCCGGACACCGACAGGCGCTCAGGGGAGCCCCGTAGATATTTATACGTATTATGATGAATATGACGACTTATTATTCCTCCTATGACGATGACTCCCAAGTTTGTACATATGTGAATCCGACCCCCCC